ACCTCTTTCGGACCTTTATAAGTCTCTAATAATTGCTGTTATCTGTATTGTGGTTTTAAAAACAGAATTACCCATTTAGGTAATTTAGGTAAGGTAATTTAAAAAAAAATTAATAATTATTTAAAAAATTAAATTAAGATTAGGTAATTTGCATCAAAAATAGTTCATGAATATTATAAAACGATAAAGTAATAAATATGGGCGGGGGTTAATTTACTCCTAGCATTTTGATATTATCAGTAGTAGGTACTAGATTAACACCTATTCTACTCTCCTGTCCGGCGATCAGTTTGGAGAATGGCTTTGGGGGAGAGCGCAGGTCCTGTTGATCCCCAGGGCAAATCTGAGAAGTTCTTCCTTCACGTGGTTGCCACCTGTCAATAGGACACAGACATAACAGAAACACTCAGGCGATTCTCTTTCGCTTTTCTTTTATCCCTCCCCTTTTCCTATCCTAACCCAATCCAAGGTGCCAAGCGTACCGTGCCGATGGATGCATGGCTGGGGATGGTCCAGTCGCAAACGGTGCCTACTCGAGACTAGGGCGATTCGGCATGCGAGGCTCTGCCTGGTGTAACCGAATATTTCCCTAGCTAATCGTGGGATCAAAATGGACGAAATCTACATTTTGCGTACAAATATAAAAATCTCCTTTAATGGAACTATCTGTAGGTTTGGAAGATGCTCTTTTAGCCTCACCAATACCCTGAAACATTACGCCTTAACCTGGGACGAGCCGTGAAGTGGAAGGGACGTCTGTAGCCGAACCTCTATCGGAAACGAACGAAAAGGGTGGGGAAAAGAAAAAGTTGGATTGCCTGGATTGCCAATCCAGTCCTGGCATGCCTTATTCACGTTACCAGAATCCAACCTGGCTTATGATTGAAACCCGAAAATTTTGGTCCCATTCGAGGCTGCGCCCCACAGGCCGTCTTAGCGATGGCCTGTGTTAGCGCCCGGTGGACCAGCCGCATCTGCTTCACGCTCATAGGACTCGAATTGCGAATTTCTACACGCGCCGAGCCAGCTACGGTACTGAATATGAGCTTCTTCTCCCCCGTTGCCAGCTTCACAGACTTCCTGGCCTGGTCTTTGGGGGATTCTTCCTTAGATCGACAGCGTTTTATCGCCTTCGGAACTGGGAGAGGTTTGGGCAGAGGAATTTCGTCCCAGGGCTTCTGGCAGAGAGAAAGGGCGTCTTCGGCTCCTATTTCAGCACATAGCTAAGCAACTCCTTCTATTCATTGAAGACATAGGGCTTAGCAGTGAACTATAGCCACAGCAGCGATCACAATAGATCTTTTAGGTCGCAGTGATACTGGTCTCTTTATCCAGACCTGAATAGATCATCATCATCATTCATCATCATTACAGCCCTTTACAAGTCCATTGCTGAACACCGGCCTTCCCATAAATTTCCTCATAAGGTGGATATTTACCATAGTTGCCATGCTTGGCATATATATTAATATAAACAGGTTACAGAGGCAATATAACCTCTCTATAAGCTCTGCAAGACATGTGACGTTGATATTTTTGCTGACAAGCCTCAAAAATTCAAACGAAAAATTATGCAGCCCTTTACTTTTAACTAACATTTAGACCTAGTTTTAAGTTTATAGTTGTAAGTTTTAAAAAACATATTCGTTGTCCACATTGCATACCGTGGCAACCTTTAACTAAGATGACACTTAGATATAAACCTTCCTGTAATTTGTAGTATTTACATTGTGTTCGTGTACTTCTTGTTGGTTGTCCTAAATAAATAAATAAAATATATATATATCCCTCTGTCACCTCTTACGACACCCACGGGATGACATGGGGTATTGGATATTCTTAACCGCCACTACACAGTAATACTAACGTGTATAGATTAATATAGATCATAAGATAAATCTTAAAACATAGAATTATTAGACTTAGAACCGCAATAGTTGCACGCAAAATGAAGCCATTTCAAGTTAGCCTTTTAAGGCTACGTACGACTTTCAGCGCGTCAGTACTCGAGTCCACGTGTGACACTATCACTCTAAAGTCTAATTACCCTATGTCTTAAAATACGTAAGTCAAACGCATCTCAGGCGTATACTTAAAACAACTATCTATCTACGCTAGACAAAATTATAGTACACACGTGCGTAGGTGAGTGCACTAACTATAATAAAATCTATTCACCCACTCTCGTAGTCCAATGGTCTGTCTGAATCTGAATCTGAAATCTGATCCGCCGCAGGATAAACAACGGCTTTATATGTTTTCCGAAGCACGCAGGTAAAACACCGCAAAAATGTACGTGATTCCCAAAATACATATGAATAGAGCAGTGTCTTGGATGCCACATTGGATGCTTACTGTATTTTTAAATAATTCTAAATAGGTTTCAATGATGATTTCTTAAATTTACGCGAACACTACACATTGAATAAAACTAAATTTACGGATTTTATCGCGTTTATTTCACTACTTTTACTTATTTTTAATTCCGACGTTTCGGGTGCTTTACAGCAACCATGGTCACGGGGGGGACTGAGATGTTTGACGTCCCAATGTCATAGTTAGTCCGGCTACCTTCAGTTATTGAATATTAATTTTTGATCCGATTTATGCAAAAAAAAAATTATATAAATTTATATAATATTTTTTTTGCGTATATTTAGTTTTATTCAATAGATTTCATCAACATTATACATGCGGTATTTTTTTCATGCGTTATATATATACATGTATATATATATATATATATATATATATATATATACATAGGAGATAAGAAAAATTAATCTAACATTTATCATCGATAGTTATGTTGTAGATCTATGTATTTGAAAATAGAATTGGTTTCCACATTAAAATGGGATTATATAATCATTACCGGTACAGCCCAAATAAAATTCATTGCTGCAAGTTAACTGGACACAGACGGGATATTTACCATAGTTTCCGCGTTTGGCAAGCAGATTGGCAATAGCAGTTTTTATTATTTCGTTAGTATACGTGTTGTATTAAGCCGTAGCGCCAGCACCTAATCTCTCTCCAGTCATGTTGAATTACCGTCTCATGGGACTATGCGAGTGAGGGAACAGGGAGTGCACCTGTGCTTGCGCATACACTTGGGTACTATAATCCTGTACTGCGCCGATTGGCTAGTCCCCGTTGAAACTGGCCGCCGTGATCCAAATTCAATCTGGAGGACATTTTTTTATTTTTGTTAAGAAAATGTTATCTTCACACTACGATTTTCTCCTGTATCGTGGGGGCAGTTTACAAACATAAATTTCACAAGGACAAACATCCAGACTCAGAACAATTACTTGTAGGCCATACAAATACTTGTTCAGTGCGGAATTCGAACCCAAGGCCCTTAGCGCTGTAACTCATTGCTAAGCCACTGTGCCTCGTAGCCGTCATTATTACCATTATACCCATTAGACCGAAACACAGCAAACACACTGCTGCTTGGTACTGCAGAAATAGAAAAGATGATGGTACCGGTACCAGCTCAGACAGACTCCTAGACGCAAAAGAAATACTAACACCTAGTAAAAATATATTGCAGCCTTTAATTTGACAGGCGCTTTCCTTTCGCACTTGAAACCGAAACACAGCAGTGGATGCAATTTAGTGTGCTCCTTTGCGACTTGTTATAGAAAAAAAAAACTAGAAATGACCCTAAGTTCAATTTTCCACGATAAGATTTATTTTTCCATTTTTTCATAAGACAGCATGACAAACGAGCACACAGTCCACCTGATGGTAAGTGGTTGCTGCGGCCCATAGACATCTATATCTATCCTCCGTCAGCACACCGAGATGGGATGCCTCGTTTCCAGTAAAAAGGGTCTCCGGTTCTCTACACTCACCATACGAAACACAGCAGCATTACGCTACTATTTTACGCTGGTATTCTGCGAAAGCGCGGTCCTTCCCCGGTCGAGCCGACCCATCTCTACCGTAAAAAACCTCAAGTAGACCATGTGTAATAACAGTACTATATAAATTAGACAGTGTGTCCCTAGAGTATACATAAGCAAGTTACCTAGGTATATACTAAGGTCTTTCAGTGTTCCTTTCAAATTATATGTAAATTCAATTAACAATTAATGAAACATCAAAACATCTTTTTAAACTTTCACTAGTATAATAGTAGAATATGAGAATCCTGAGGTGCATTTGTCTCACGTATTTTAAGATTTATCTTATGATCTATATTAACCTATACGTGTTAGTATTACCGTGTAGTGGCGGTTAAGAATATCCACTACCCCATGTCATCCCGTGGGTGTCGTAAGAGGCGACAGAGGGATACAAGTCAGGGGATGGATTTTATACGTGGTAGAGCCATGCTGCAGTTATATTAGTAGTATAGTTGTAGTACGAGTGGGTCGGCTCGACCGGGGGAAGGACCACGCTCTCACAGAATACCAGCGTCAAATAGTAGCTTAATGCTGCTGTGTTTTGTATGGTGACTGTAGAGAACCGGAGACCCTTTTTACTGGAAACGAGTCATTCCATCTTAGTCCTCACGGGTGACAACGCATCTGCATTTTGATTCGTAATCGAGGATAGATGTAGATGTCTATGGGCCACAGCAACCACTTACCATCAGGTGGACTGTGTGCTCGTTTATCACCCTGTCTTACAAAAAAAGATGGCCAGCAGTGTCTTCTTAATAATAATGGCTGAAAAAAACTGCGGTTGCAACCCGCTTGCCAAGCATGGCAACTATGGCAAATTTGAGGAAATTTATGGAGGAGGCCTAAGTTCAGCAGTGGAATTTAACAGAATGTAACGGTAACGTTTATTAAGTATTTAAGCAATTGCATATTAATTACTTCATCGTTTTATAATATCCATGAACTATTTGATTCGAATTAGTAACCTAAATGGGTAATTCTGTTTTTAAAACCACAATACAGATAAAAACAACTATTAGAGACCTATAAAAGTCTGAAGGAAGTTTGTCATTGATATATTTCATTTAGTTTCACTCATACAAAATGACGTCTAAGCAACTATTGTTAGCAACGATTTTCGTTTTCTACCTGGCGATATCGGTGCTCGGAAGTGGGGATTTTTCAACTGGACGTATTCAAGGTGCGGAACTCGTACATCATGAGATTTACACACGGAGGGGTCTTCCGCTACAGAAAAGGGACGAAGAGGTTGAAATATGGGCACCAGAGCATAAAACAATCCAAGCAGTGGTTGTAAAAGACCTAAAAGGTAACGGAGAAAGCTACATAAAGAATGGTGGTATTGGAATGGATAGGGTTACGCTGAAACTGAAGAGTCCAAGAGGCCGTGGGTTCAGCTTTTCTGTTGATGTGTATGCTGCATAGAGCTTATATGTAATGGTGGATTAAAATAAATGATTTTTCATGTATTAAAATAGTTTGTTCCTTTACGCTTAGTAAAATGACGTGTATAGGCGACTTACTAATATCCTCTGCCGTAAGTGATTCGTTTTCGCACAATCCAATGCAGCATCATATTCGTGATAATATCTCAAAGAAAAACAAACTGCAGTTACCAGCGCAACTATCAAGCGTGCAACTATGGAAATCCTCTCTCCTAAAATCCAATTTCTGGCCTATTCCATCAGTGTAGTTTTGATGAGCCGTAATGATTGCGAGAAAATTGAACATATTAAATTTGATCTTCGCAATCCGTTCCATTCTGTCTTCTCCATTCAACCTCCAGTCTTTTCTTGTCTCTTCCCCAAACACTCATTTTTCGCTTAGTTATAACGTTCAATTTTCACATTGATGTGTTAGATATCGAGCCGTTAACCATCGCAGGGTTATCTCCTGATGATACCTTGTTAGAAACGAAACACGTGCCACCATATTTAATTTGTGTGCTTCCTAATGAAGAGGTTATAACGCACGCATGCACACCATTTTATTTATGTGATTTTAATATCTTAATCATATTCATCTAAAAGTTGCTAAAATTTCTTTCATGTTTTCACTACTTTGTAATTCACCATATGGTGGCAATGTAAGAATACCCACTGCCTCATAATTTGCCGTGAGAATTTGCTGAGTGTCGTAAGAGTCGACCGAGGGAAACAAGAAAGAGATGAGCAGCACAGTCTTTCTAACAGTACGTTTGCACTGTGAAACATTCAACACGTAATGTTTTAAAACCAATCGCATAAAATAACTCGCACAACATGGTTTATCGATGGCGGCGTTCGCACTCACAAAATCTGTGTAAAATTTTCAGCAGATATTCAAATTTATTTTTCAACATGACAATATTTCTACAAATTTGTTTTCAAACATTTTGTTTCTGTAGTTATATAGATATAATAATATAGTATGTACAATAAACTGTCAAACATATTTCACTACAACATGTGCTTTGACTATGCAAACACTTTTTGATACATTGACAGAAAACAGTGTTTAAAACATGTTTTTGTTGTGAAAATCGCGTCAGTGCAAACTCACGGTAATAACAATTAAAACATTAAAAAAATACTGCGGCTGCCAACCGTATGGCAAGCATGACAACTATAGCAATATACGAAGCAGTCTTTAGGGAAACCCTATGATCAGCAGTGGACTTGTGGCTGTAACGGTAGGTGCTTTGTATTTGTGGATGTATAATTGTGGATGAAAGATTGAGGGGCGCAGTGGTAGATACGAGAGTTTACCGGGGTTCTAACGTAGGAACGGATCATTATTTAGTTTTATGCCGAATTAATGGTCTATTCAGGCGTTGGCGCCATCGATCATCTGTGTCTACCACTGCGTTACAGCGTATTAGAACAGAAAGGTTACAAGATGAAAGTGATAAAAACAAGTTCAAATGTAGACTGAAAGAAAATATAAGTGGTTTGGATGAATTATGTATGAAGGAGTTAGACTTGGAGAATATATGGCAAAATGTAAAGAAAGATTTAGTGGATGCAGCTACCGAAGTATGTGGTGTTAGTAAGAGAAAGAATGAAAGGAAAAATAATACGTTATGGTGGGATGATGAGATACGTATGGAAGTTGAAGCAAAGAAGAGAGCATGGCTAGATTTACTAGCAACAAAGGCTGCTAATTCTAGTGGTACGAATGGTGATATTGAAAGAAAAAAGGCAGTCTTTAGACATCTTAATAAGAGAGTAAAAGAAGTAGTTGAAAGAAAAAAGCAAGAAAGAACGGATAAGAATGATAGAAGAATATCTGATAACTTCCAGGCAAATATTAAAATGTTCTGGAAACTTGTAAGAACTGCCAGGGGACATTCAAAACAGCCTATGATGAATGCTATAAGAGACAAGAATGGCTATATACTGAATGATGAAGTTTTGAGTTTAAAGAGATGAAAGGAATATTTTGAAAGCGTGTCTATGAGTGAGGAGACAACGTGTGTACTAAGTGAAGTAGAAACACCGAAAGAAGAGGAAAGAGGTAGCGAGATAAGTATAGATGAAATAATGAAAGCAATGAAAAGCATGAAAGCAGGTAAGGCTGCCGGATATGATAGAGTTTCACTCGAAATGCTAAGGGCTGGAGAGGAAGTGGTGGCAGGCCTGGTGCACACCTTGTTTAATTTATGCTGGGAACTGAAGCGAGTACCGGTAGACTGGTGCAAAGCCGTGATAGTCCCAGTATATAAAGGAAGAGGGTCGCAGCAGGACTGTAAAAACTACCGTGGCATCAGCCTTCTTGGCATTGTGGGAAAACTGTATGCGAAGGTACTGATTGAAAGGGTCATGAAAGAAACTGATGGAAAAATTTGGGATGTGCAAGCGGGATTTAGAAAGGGAATGGGATGTACAGATCAAATCTTTTCCATGCGCATGATCGCGGAGAAGTTTCTGGCCAAAAACCAAAAGGTTTTTTGTGCGTTCATGGACTTGGAAAAGGCCTATGACAGAGTGGATAGGAATGTGCTATGGCAAACACTGAACTCATTTGGGTTGAGCGCTGGCTTAATACAGGCATTGGAGTCTCTTTATAGGGACTCTAGTGCTTGTGTTAGGATCAACGGGGTCTACTCGGACTGGTTTGACATCCATAAAGGTTTCAGACAGGGCTGTGTGGCTTCCCCGTGGCTGTTCAACCTATTTATGGACAGTTGTTTGCAAAATTTGAAAGTTGAAGAATGCGGATTAAGAATGGGTGAGTTAACCGTCAAATGCCTTTTGTACGCCGATGATCAAGTCATTCTTGCGTCGTCGGCGGCCGAGTTGCAAATGATGGTTACATTAATGAACGGATCAATAAAAGAAAGGGGTATGAAAGTGAACGCAAGTAAGATGAAGGTTATGGTTTTTGAAAGAGAAGAAAGTAAAACGATTTGTGAAATAAGAATGGAAGGGGAGTTGATCGAGCAAGTAGATGAGTTTGTATATTTGGGCTACGTATTTAGCAGGGATGGGAGATATGATAAGGATATAGAACGACGAGTGAATGCGGGAAATAGAGTAAATGGGGCCTTGCACTCTATTGTGAAGAGTCAAAATGTGTCGAAAAAGGCACGTATGGCAATTCACAATGCTGTGTTGGTCCCTACTTTAACGTATGGTAGTGAAAGTTGGGTGTGGCAGAAGAAGCACGAGAGTAGAATAAACGCAGTAGAAATGCGGTCGTTAAGGAGTATGTTAGGGCTGAATCTGAGAATGCCACTCATTAAGTCCCCCTTTACCCCTTTACTTAAGGTGTTACGTTTAAGTTTTTAAATAAATAAATAAATAAATAAATGACAGGGTAAGAAATTGTGTAATAAGAGAAGAGTGTGGTTTGCAAGATGATGTTGTGACCAGGATTAAGAAACGAATGCTTCAGTGGTTTGGTCATGTGGAAAGAATGAATGAGGAAAGAGTGACAAAGAAAATTTATGGTGCAGAAGTGAATGGCAGAGTCGGAAAGGGACGTCCTAGGCGAAAATTTATCGACCAAATTGGCGATTTATTGAAAACGGGCCAAATTAGGAGTACCCTTAACCGACGAGCATGTATGCGTAGGTGTATGGATGTGAAGGAGGCAAGAGAGGTGTGTCAATGTGCCAAATGGAAGTCTGTAGTCTCTGCCTACCCCTCTGGGTGACAGGCGTGAGTGTTTATTATGTATTATGTTTATGTATGTATTTATCTAAAACGAGATTTACGTGGTCCTATCCTACCCCGGTTTGCTCGAATTGCACATACATGTGCACATACGATATGCACTTAGGATAAGTCCGCAATCCGTTCTTAGAACCATTAAGTTACTGTTGTTTATTATGTAATGCATTGCTAGGCTGCGATTTTTTTACCGTCAACTTTACAGCCTATGAAAAGTTATTAGACTGACGCTGTCAGTCTGCTTAGTTTGACCGTGTAGTGGCGGTTTAAGAAATTCCACTATCCAATATCGTCCACAGAACACTATTAATCCTATAAGATAAGAAAGACAACTTCATGTAAAAATGTGATATATACCCACTAACTCCATCTATAGTTAGCCCACCTGCACTCGTCTCGTGTGGCGGGAAAATTTGAACGTGGTCCTTTTTTTTGGGTTTTTATTTGAGGTATTTTTTGGGTAGCCTATCCCAGCGCAGAATAAAAGAACAAAAAGTTTCAAAATTTCTATTTATTTATTCGAAATACATAACTTACAAAACATCAATATCGTCCCTAACGACCGGCCCAGTCACTGCGACCATTTGTGACAGATATCTGCCATTTGAGCAAATTGGGCTACTAAATTTTAAATGTGACAGATTATAATTGTTTTGATAATCTTTTAAACCAACAATTCCTGTCCTAAGTCAATCTATAGTCCCTACAGGGATTTCCCATTTTAAGTGATTTGTTAGGACTTGGTGCATGTAGCACAAGGATAATTTTATGTGTGGATGACTGAAAAATATTTATAGTTGGCAATTTTTTGTTAAAGCATACTTATTTTTGCGAATTTAAAACGTCTCGTGTGAGAGTGAGAGGATTTTCTCACAAGTAAACCTTATTAAAATTACATATTCTTGGATAGAGTTAATAGATATTGGCGGATTTTCATCTTCGCGATGGTCACACTGGGTCCCGTGGGTGTCGTAAGAGACGATGGAAGGACATAGTTAATTAAATTATCAATTGATTCGTAGACTTAATCACGGTTTATTTTTATCCGTGTTTTGTTTTTTCTTTTATCTCCAAGTTGTTCGGATAATATTTAGTCTAGATCACTACTAGCATTGTTCTCCATGTGTTTGTGAAATTTCTTTAGAATCTGTTTAGTTATTACGAAGATTAGTTGGTACAGATAGACAAAAATTTAAAAAAAAAAGTTATTCATGTCTTAATATTCTGCAAATCACCTCCTCAGCTTAATATATGGCAGTGTTTTCGATCTTA